CAGGAATACGTGATATACATATTGGTCTGACAGAGACCTCCACGAGCTTTCCAGGAAAGCTTCCGACGCCTTCGCAACGATGGGTGCCTGGGTTTAGAAAGCCGCTCTACACGGTTTTGAGGGTTTAGGGTTTCGGGTTTGGGGCTTTCAAACAAAATCTTGATGCCTGCTGCGTTGTTCGGCTGATTTCTTTTGATTTGCTTGCTTAGGGTGCACGCGTGAGCCGCGTGTGGCTGTAGTACAAGGAATTTAACCCTATATATACCTTGTATAGTCCCTGCATACTTAAGTAGCCCCCAAATATGCCCTAAATAACCCCTAAGGTCCCTTGTAAAGGTCCCCTAAACCCTAAACCCTAAACCCTAAAGCCTAAAGCCTAAACCCTAAACCCTAAACCCTAAACCCTAAACCCTAAACCCTAAACCCTCCCTTGAAGGAAGCCCCTGGTGGCGCCCATCATCCAGGAGCTGATCCTGAAGCAGCAGCCAGAGAAGACCAAGGCCTACGTGGACCCTTGCCACCAGAAGAACCTGGGTTTAGGGTTTAGGGTTTAGGGTTTAGGGTTTAGGGTTTAGGGTTTAGGGTTTAGGGCCATGGCGGGCACTTCCCCCCAAAGGAGGCCTAGTCCTCACAGAAGGAGCCCCCTCAACATGGGTAGAAGAGAGCCCCAGTGTCATTCCGTCTGCAGCTAAAAAAAGCATCGTGGGGCAACCTGGTCTGCTCAGGACACGATCTCCTCCTGGGACTTTGTGCGCGCTGTGCCCGCGCACTTCAGCTGCCCCATCCAGATCTCTCCCAGGCAGTTTCGGGAGACCTTCGCTTTTGTGAGAGAGGCCCGCCGCGACCTCAAGCCGCTCGAAGGCAAGGAGGCCGCGGGGGGCAGGAGGATGGCCGGGTGCAGATTCTCTAGTTCTCTCTTCGATTCTTCTCGAGCAGCCTTTGCTTTTGTGAAAGCCCTAAACCCCCAAACCCTAAAAACACCTCAGGTACTGTGCTGAGGACGTCGCCTTCCTCGCGGACCTGCAGCGCTCTGCCATTCCAGATGGCCAGCCCGTGAGGGCCCAGGGCCCCTGCGGCTACACGGCCCGCGCGTAGAACGCCGAAGCAAGCTGTGGCATGCCACACTTGGGCAGTTCTCTTGATTCGGGTCCCTTTTAAAGGGTTCCCCCTGTAAAAAGAGAACCCCAAAAAGGGACCCTAGTTTAGGGAGCCAGCCACATCGGTTCCTCGCAGAAAAGAAAAAGGTGTTTGCTGCAATGCATCTTTTTCAGGCTGTAGATTGGGATGTTCCCCCTTAGTGCACCCTACTGTAATCCCTACTAAGGACTGCCAGTATAGGGGGGAACATCCGAAGCTGTTGGTTGAAGGGGTGAGTCATCTGGGTCTTGATGTGTCCCCAGCCAACCTTTCGGCTCGCCAGGAGTGAGTACCCCAAGCTCTGCTATCGGCGTCATGGCTCCTCAATCTGCGCGATCTCTGCCTCATTGCTTGATGTCCTGTTTCCCAGGGCTCGAGGCCTTTGCCGCCCTCTCACACAAGCTGCTTAGCTGCAAGCATGTGGCGCCTTGCAGGGCTGTGGAGCTTGTCCGGCCCTAAACCCTAAACCCTAAGCCCTAAGCCCTAAACCCTAAACCCTAAAAAACCCTGAGCCCTAAGCCCTAAGCCCTAAGCCCTAAACCCTAAAACCCTAAAACCCTAAACACTAAACGGGGAAAATCAAAACCCTCCCTACCCGAGCGTCCAATCTGCGATTCCTGCGGCCGAGGTGGTCCCCGGCTGGCCGCCGCATGGCTGTACATGCCCGCCATGTTTCGGCGCCTAAGGCCCAACGCCCGGCGCCTAAGGCACAGAGTCTGCCATCCCTTGCAGATATTTGGACCCAACTTTCTAAACCCTAAACCCTAAACCCCAAACCCTAAACCCTAAACCCTAAACCGAAAACCCCAAACCCTAAACCCTAAGCCCCTCTTCGCCCGCACCGTCGTGTCGAGGCTGGGTCCTTGCCAGCTGCATCTCGGGAAGCCTGGCACGGCCGGCTCGCTTGAGAGGGTGCTTCTTGTGCCAGAAGCATCTCGAAGTCCCTGTGTGGCCTAGGGTTTAGGGTTTAGGGTTTAGGGTTTAGGGCTTGGGGCTTAGGGCTTAGGGCTTAGGATTTCGGAGCTCTTATCTGTGTTTAGGGTTTAGGGCTTAGTGTTTAGGATTTTTAGGAACTCCTATCTGTAGTTAACAATATCGCGCCGCCCTCAGAAGTGGTAGTGGTCGCTAAGACGGTGCAAGATGGTGAACCTGGCACCATGGCTCGGACTCGATCATGTTGCTGTGTTACCGGAGCTTACCCGCGTGGCTGCGAAGCTTCAGTATGTGTCGGACCTGTGGTGCACGGCCCGTTCTTTTAGTCGAACCCGCCCGGCCCTGGCAGGCAGTTCTCAGCACGGCGGCGTCAGCTGTGGCATCCATGGCCGCGCTCCGTGCCTCAGCTTCAGGAGAATGAGGGCGCGATGGCCCGGGGGGGCAGTCGGCGTCGTATTCAGCATGCTGGGCCCCTAAACCCTCAAGGCCCCCCAATGCCCTCAAAAAACATATCGGTTGAATATTACTGCAATATAACCATATGATATCATAATGTAATACGAATCGTGCAATCATGTAAACGTGGAAGGCGTGGTTCCAGTGAGTCCCGACGGCAACTGCTTGTTCCGCTCAGTGGCCCAAGGCCGGGCCCTCAGTCACAGCCCTGTGGGAAATTTCGTGCAGTCAGAATGCGCAGCAGCGACAAAAGGCTGTGCACATAAGGGGTCGGAGAGGTACTACGAGTACAGCTGCCGATTTGTTTTGTGGTCGTCGGCTGCTGTTTCGAGCTTTACTGCTCTCCCCGGATCCGGCGTGGAGTTTTTTTAGCGAATTTCCCTCAGACACTGTGCCGGCGGATGCAGTGAAGATCCTGCCATGAGGTGAGGCTGCAGTGAGCAACAAGCGGCTGACCACTGAAGAGGAAGACGCCCGCAGCCAGGTGCCTTGGTCCTTGCTCATCCTTTGTTGCATCTCGCAAAGCTTCCCCTAAACCCTAAACCCTAAACCCTAAACCCTAAACCCTAAACCCTAAACCCTAAACCCTAAACCCTAAACCCCTAAACCCTAAACCCTAAACCCTAAACCCTAGACCCTCCCTGAGAGCCTCGAGACTTCCCAGGAGTTGCGTGCGCTGGCCATGGAAGAGTTCGTGAAACAGCGGGAGGAGCCCAGCCGACGCTCCGTAGGATCCGGAGGTTGAGGATGCATATGGGATTTAGGTTTAGGGTTTAGGGTTTAGGGTTTAGGGTTTAGGGTTTAGGGTTTAGGGTGGGGGTGTACGATATGAGGGGTACCTTATTGGGGTCCGTATGCTAAGGGAATCCTACCATTTGGGGGGGGGTCTTTTATAGGGATTATAGGGGGTCCCCTGATTTCGTACACTCCCATGTGGTGTCAGATGCGAGTTGGACCGCGTCACATTACCGTCAGGAGGTGGGATGGATCGTTGAAGGCGATTTCGACAGCTACATCGCAAGGCAGCCGCGGGTCATACCCATAGTGGGTCATAGAACTCATGAAGGGCCAGACATAGCCTATCAGTTTTTTGAAGCTGCAAAACCCCACCTTTGCCCCCTCCCCTCTCCCCCCCCCAAACCCTAAACCCTCCTGAACCCTAAACCCTAAACCCTAAACCCTAAACCCTAAACCCTAAACCCTAAACCCTAAACCCCAAAACCCCCCCCGTCCCCCCCCCCCCCCTGGAACGCCCCTTTCAGGATGTCGAGGCTCGGCGAGTGGGGAGGGGAGCCCGAGTTGCACGTACTCAGCCGGTACGTGCTCAAGCGGCCCATTGAAGCGCCTCATCCATACTGTTTTGGGGGTTTAGGGTTTAGGGTTGAGGGTTTAGGGTTTAGGGTTTGGGGGATTTCCGGTGTTCGGCTCGGTTAGATGGTTACATGTGAGTGCGTACGATTACAGATTACATATCAGTACGTGCTGTTCAATAGAAGTTATTGCAATCCGGCCGGCGCATGTTACTAAGGTGTACATGCAGGGTGGGGCCCAGCCCTTCCTCGTCTACTCACAGGACGGCAGGGCGTATCATGCCTCACTCGCGCTGTGTCGCCATTGCGCGTTCTCTCTTTTGCTAAACCCTAAACCCAAAACCCAAAACCCTAAACCCTAAACCCGAAACCCTAAACCCTAAACCCTAAACCCTCTGTCGCAAGGAACTTCAGGGTCCGCCTGTCCGTGTCCTGTTTCACGGCTATGGGCACTATGAAGCGCTCGTGCCCGAGTGAGGAGGGGGGCCTTCAGGCCACAAGTTCTTCTCACCTGTTCTCACCCCCAACACTACTATCTTGCTCAGGAACCCCAAAAGAAGAAAAAACAGTAATCCCTATCATACCCTTAAGAAGGAAGATTTTATATTATTATTATTATTATTATTATTATTATTTATTTTTTTTTTTCAATTTTTTTGGGGTTCCTAAGCAAATTAGTGGAGCATCTCCTGGGGACTACTGCACCGGGCTCTGCACGAGCCCGCCATGGCAAGGGCGCACCTAGCCATCCAAGCCCTTCCACAGTGTACATCGCACAGAGACCCCACTTGAAGGTTCATGGGCAGTTACAAGTGGGGTTATGAGTAGGGCAGCGATGATTCTAACTGGTTCAAGCCGAATTTAGTTAGAACCCTACTTATAAATCCTAAACACTACTTATAACTACCCGTGAACCTCCTAGCAGGTCTCAGTTTAAGATACCGGTTTGCACATCCGGGCCGCGGCCTTGAGCACAGCTCAAAGCCCTCGCGGTAAACAGGCCCCTTGACGGTTCTGTGCATCGGTTCTACAGCCCCCGTGAAAAGGAGTTGGCCGTGGTTTGCCATAGTGTGTGCTCTTCGCCCGAGCCCCACAACTGCCGCAGAAGAAGCCGCAGTACCGACGCGACTCTTCACGATGCGGTACACCTTCCCCATCCGACAGGTCAGCTTCGTCCTATCACACTCGGATGTCGAGCGGCACCGACCATGTTATCGACAAGCGCCTTCTGTGTGAGCAGTTGAGCTGTGTTGACTACTAATTGCTTAAGAGCCCCGAAAATATAGTTATCTTCCATATCAAGGGTAATATCGGGATCATTGTTTCTAATTCTCTCGGGGTTCTTAAGCAAATAGTGGTTGATCTGCTTGCGAAGCTGCGCGAAGCTTGCCAGGTGGCATGACCAAGCCTTGCCGGTGTTGACTTTCCAGCGCGGCAAGGCTGGCTCTTAGTCGAATGCGTATTGTTAGGTAAAGTGTTGATCACTGGGACATGCTAACAAGAGATGGATGAAGGCATTCCGTGCCAGTTACTCCCGAACTTCAGGTTGAATGCATTTCCATGTCTGTCTTGTGCCCCTGCGGGCGCATCTCATGTCGCTGCGGCGTGCTGGAAGGCGACCACGCGCGTAGTTCGAACGCCTATGCCGGCAGCTTGGTGACACAGCGACTAGTAACACATGAGAGTCAGATTAGAGCATTCGAATGTTCCAATGTTGGATTATTGGATCAAATCACTTGTTGCAATCTTAAACCCTAAACCCTAAACCCTAAACCCTAAACCCTAAACCCTAAACCCTAAACCCTAAACCCTAAAGTGTTGGGCTATTATAAGATGAGAAGGTGCTGAATCTTATAATATTCAAAGAAGTGCTCTCGGTGTGGGAACCTCCCCCCCCCCCCCTGAAGGTGGGAACAGCTATAAGTGGGGTTATAAGTAGGGGAACCATAAATTCTAACTGGTTAGAACCCTAGGGTACCCAGAACCTACTTATCACTACCCCATGAACCTCCAAAAGCAAGGTGGGAGCAGCTTGATGGGTCTTGGAGCCGCAAGGTGCGCAGAGACGTTTGGCTGGCTTTGATGTGAATCTCTTGTTAGGGTGTAGGGTTTCGGGTTTATAGGGTTTATAGGGTTTATAGGGTTTATAGGCTTTATAGGCTTTATAGGGTTTAGGTTTTAGGGCTTAGGGTTCTTTTGCGCAGACAAAAACCATTAAACACATACCCTTTGTCTGTTTCATGTTCTCAGAAGGGTCTGTCTGCCCAGTCTCGCATTCCAGCTCGCGACCAGCGAAGCGGCTGCCGCAGGTGGAGCACAGCGTGCGCATGGCAGACGGCCTGGCAGCTCAGCTCGGATGATCTCGGGCGTCCTGCGCGCGAAGCCCAAAGCCCGGGAAGCAGCCGAAAGCTTCCCACCCTAAACCCTAAACCCTAAACCCTAAACCCTAAACCCTAAACCCTAAACCCTAAACCCTAAACCCTAAACCCTCAACCCTCAACCCTCAACCCTCAACCCTAAACCCTCAGAAAGCCGCAGCCCACTCGCCACAAAGAGCCCAGCGTTGCCCTCTCCAGAGGCCAGCGGCTGTGGCGCTCGAAGGTTGGCAAGCAAGCCTTCTGGCGAGGCTCGGTTTAGGGTTTAGGGTTTAGGGTTTTGAGGATTTGGCATGATTTGGCATTATCTTGTGTGTATACCATACTATATGATATTTATTTGTCTTTTTCACGTAGTGTATCAGGTTTATGTATGCATCGTACATGTTATATGCACTATGTACTTCATATATATGTATATATATTTTTTTACAGATATGCATACTGTTATCGGGAGATTTGAGGATAATTTAGTACCTCTCCGAATCCAGAAGCGTTCTTGCGCCCGGGGTACCCACCGACAGGTGTTCTGCCCCAACAGCATGTTGCATGCACTCCTCCCTCTCCCGCAAACAGGAAAAGAAAAGACAACTCCCCAACCCTCATCGAGCAGCCCTCTTTTCGCAAAGCATGCCAAACACATCCATTAGGTAAGGTTCTGTCATCTAATGTTCATGGAATGTCAAAGGCAGCCTCCATAAGCAACCTACTAATGCACATGGCAGGTACTGATAGCGGGGTTCCCGCACAGGACGATTTGCTTGAGACTGGGTCGGAAGATTGCAGTCCTTCAAGCAATGTGGTCGCTTCACATAGCATACATTGCGAGAGCAGGACTGTCACCCCGAGCGGTTTCGATCCTGCAGCGTGCAATGCTCGAAGTGTCGCTGATCTCTACACGTTAGATGCAGGGGACATGCTCTACTGGTAACGCTTCGAGCCTTTATCCTGGACGTTTCCTGCATAAACCTGATTCCAGCAAAGTGAGGTGAACAACCACACCTGGCGTGACTTTCATCGTCCGGTGCCAAGTGGCCTTGACCAATGAAGTATGTGGCTGCGAACGGAGACGGGCTTTTTGACCCCATCCTTTCTGCCCTGTGCTCAGATTTTAGTACTTGGTGCCCTGAGCTTTCGGGTAGTAGCCTTGGTACAACAAGCTACACTGGGGATTCGAAACTAACCTACAGAAGTAGGTTTCGGGGCTCGCAAGGCATATATTATAGATAGATATAGATATAGATATAGAGACCTCTAGAGCCTAAACCCGAAACCCTAAACCCAATTTGTAGGTTTTTGGGGTTCTCACGGCGTCGTTCTCTCAGGCCTAAAGTTGGCGAGAATGGCTTCGACGATGCCGCACCGTGTGGATGCGGCTCTATCAGGCGGGTTGGTTGAGGGTTTCGGGGTGTAGGTTTTAGGGTTTAAGGCTTAGGGGTTTAAGGTTGGGGGTACAGGGTTTCGGGTTGAGGCGAAATGTCGCACAAATGTCGCGAAGGCTACTGGTAGCTCCTAGTGTCGTTGACCATCGCGCAGGGTGACAAGCAAGACCAGTGCAAGGGCCTTGGTAAGGTAAATCAAACGTTCGCAGCCGGCGTTTCATGACCACTGCGGCCAGGCAAACCTATTGTAACTCAGACTGGACCAAAATGTTCCGTCCCCTGACTCAACTTAGCTGGCACACTTTGGCAATGCCTAGTGGGCCGCATGTACACGCACAGCACGGTATGTCATCAGCCGATTTGCCACCACCCTCCCGCCATCCCCGTGCAGGTGTGAAGCAAAGAGCAAAGGCTATCGGACGTGGCCTCGGACGGATGGTTGCAAACCCTAAACCCTAAACCCTAAACCCTAAACCCTAAACCCTAAACCCTAAACCCCAAACCCTAAACCCTAAACCCTAAACCCTAAACCCTAAGCTCTAGATAGTCGTGGGCTTTGTGGGGTCGAGGCACGGTCTCGCAGCAACCTGTCGTGCAAACAGCCTCAGCAAGCTCACGTTCCTGCAGTTGCAACGGAAACTCCGTAAATTGGGCGGCGAACTTGAGAACCTTCCGGATCTTCGCGGTCCAATGGGGCTAGAACTCGCAAGCAGCGGAGGCGATGCCGTCTGAGCTGCTGTGAAACATCACAGGGCCTGGACGTGTTTTCTGCGGTGGAGGGGATCCCGCCCGGGCTGCTGTGAAACAACAAGGGTTCTCGAAGTGTTCACAGCAGGGAACGCGGCGGCCGCCACGGCAAAGAGGTGTCTTGACTTATCTTGACAGCAGAGGAGCCCCGACACCACCCAAACTGCTTGCATCAAGGAAACTTGTTTTGGGAGTTTTTTTTGGTGAAGATTTGGTGCGGGGGGGTAGGTGGGGCATGGGGTGGGGTTGGGCGTACGTCCATGAATGGGTCACTGACGCCACAGGACAGGACCGAAAGGATCGCGGGTGGGATCTCCTGAACAGGTACCTGACTTTTGTTTTTAGGAAGCGCCCCCTGAAAACTCCGAGTCCCCCCAGCTTGAACCCCTGTACTCTAAACTTCATCAAAGCTGCGTCTCCCACGAGCCCAGGATTGGACCTGGTCTACACGCAGCTGGAGTCTCAGTGTCCAGCCGTGCCTGCGTAGGGCTCGGGGTTTAGGGTTTAGGGTTTAGGGTTTCGGGTTCAGGGTTCGAATAAGGCTTTGGGCTTAACACAGGGATTGGGTTTGCAGGGTTTCCGCTCCGCCTGTGAAGGTCCTGCAAGTACAGGGAAGATAAACTCCCAAATGGTAGGAGTAAGAAGGACCCCAATAAGGTACCCTCAATATCGGAAACCCCCTGATAAAGAGCCAAAAAGGCTCTCCCTTATGCTATCTGTCCTTCAAAGGAGCTGAAATAGAGGGGTACTCTGATCCCGATGAAGGACTGTTTCGAAGGGGCCCAACCTAAGCCTTGCAAGCCCAAGCCAAACCCAGCCCCGACCCTTGGACCTCCCATAGGCCTTCATCCCCAATCTCCTGGGCCACAAAACCCTAGACTTCAAGAAGCCCCAAACCCAAGCCAGCCCCAAACCCCCCAAAACCCCAAAAACCTAAACCCCTAAACCCCCCCAAATTCCCCCCAAAAAACCCTAAACCCCAAACGCCTAAACCCCTAAACCCCCAAAACCCCCTAAACCCCCAAACCCCTAAACCATCCTAAAGCCCACCTAAGCCAAGGCTTGGCCTGCTGCACCCACCTTTGCGAGAGCTCTCTATCGAGGCCCCAGGCGTAGCATTTTCCCCGAAAGCATCGCGAAGGGTTCTTCCGTGCGGAGCCCTTTGACCCAACAACATCGAGTGAATGTGCAATAGAGTTAGAGTGAAGTGCATAGAGTGAAGAGCTCTGACCCAACAACATGGAGTGAAGTGCATGGAGTCAAGTGCACAGAGTGAAGTGCGTAGAGTGAAGAGGTGGTGCCGGTTGCCCCAACAGGCTCAGGGAATTCAAGCGGGTCCACATGACTAATGAGGATGATCAACGTCCCCTCACTTTTTGTATACCTTGTAAACGACAAAACCCAGCCCAAAACAAACATGCTTGCAGCAGAACATTTGCGATCTACACAACCGAACAAGTTGCTTTTGTACCACGCAGGCCACGCGAAACGCATTCCGAAAAGAGGATAGAACAAATTTAATTCGCGCGTTTTCCCAACGCGCACGTTTACAGCACGTCCGCGAGTTGTTATTGCCGTCGTCGTGGTCGTTGCCTTTGCTGTTGCTGTTGCTGTTGCCGTTCGGTTCTTTCTTTTGTCGCGGTGTTATTTTCATCGTTTTCATGGTTCGTTGCTATTGTTCTTATTGTTTGCTGCTATGAGAGTTTTTCTTTATTGTTGTCATTCGTGTTTTTCTTGTTGTCCTTGCTATTCTTATTTTATGGTTAGTATTATTATTGGTGTTATTGTTCCTGTTAAGGTTCTTTTGTTTGTTACATTTATGTTTTTGTTATGGTTACTCGTTCATATGAGTATTCGTATTCCTGTTCGCGTTAGTATTCGCATTTTGCTAGCATTGGTACTCGGTCGTTGTATTCATGTTCACAGTCGGGTTCGTGCTTTGTTGGTATCAATTACGTGTATCAAGGTTCGGGTTGTCCACTTCCGCGCAGTCACATCATTCAGGCAAAGCATTGGCACGCTCCGCTACACGATAAGTTTTCAGCGTCTCAGCGTCTCGTGATGCCCACGTCACGCACAAAACGCAGGACCCTAGGTATCCAAGGAACATTCCTTACATCAAAATAGGGTTCCATATATGAAGTAGGGTTCATATTTCTTGTATCACCAAAAGAACACCAAATATATACACTCACCAATATTAAAAAAAAGGAAAATATATACACTCACCAAAAACAGCAATATAAACCCTATGTTGCATGGTTTAAGGGATATTCCTTAATTAAGGGGTATTGGAGTCTCTGGGGCCAGGAACAGCTCCGGCGCCGTTTGCTGCTGGATCTGGATGGAAGTAGCCAGCCCGGGACTCGTTCAGTGTGGGTTTAGGGTTTAGGGTTTAGTAGGGTTTAGGGTTTGATGCACTGGGGTAATGTGGGGAGCTGCTTGCACAAGCCTGCGCTTTCTCATGTATGTTGCCACACTCTCATGGACAAGAGGTCCACGCGTTTGTACTGGGCACGGGCCTGAGCAGCCTTAGCATGTCCTGCGATTTCCTGTCGTCAGACATGTGTGGCAACCAGCATTCCAGCGAGCATGTTCCTGAGGGCCTGCTATCGAATTCGGTGGTTTTGAAGCAGGACCGGGAGTTGCCAGTGGTGAATCTTCGCCCTTGAAACATGTAAGGAGAGGAGCTTTGCTGACAAATTCGCGCAGCTGTGTGCTGTTCCGGGCAATCTCCGGGCAAGCTGGCATATGGGTTTAGGGTTTAGGGTTTAGGGTTTAGGGTTTAGGGTTTAGGGTTTAGGGTTTAGGGTTAAGTTCACTGAGAGTCAGGACACGAAGTGCTGCAATTGGTACTCGGATCGGCCGGGATCTTACGCGCGCACAGTCTGTATCATGATAAACCCTAAACCCTAAACCCTAAACCCTCAACCCTAAACCCCAAACCTTAAACCCTAAACCCTAAACCCTGAACCCTAAACCCTAAACCCTGCGCATGAAGCAAATGGCCTCGCGCCTGGCAGAGCCATGATGCCGGGCCCCTAAACCCTGGCGTCGCTTTTGATGACTCTGGAACCCTAAACCCTAAACCCTCTATAAACCCTAAACCCTGAACCCTGAACCCTGAACCCTGAACCCTAAACCCTAAACCCTAAACCTAAACCCTGAACCCTAAACCCTAAACCCTAAACCCTGAACCCTGAACCCTGAACCCTAAACCCTAAACCCTAAACCCTGAACCCTGAACCCTGAACCCTAAACCCTAAACCCTAAACCCTAAACCTAAACCCTAAACCCTAAACCCAAAACCCTAAACCCTGAACCCTGAACCCTAAACCCTTGCAGGCTCCGAGACCAAGTCCACATCTTCCGCGTTCGCCGGGACCTGGCGGACGTGCCCCGTCAGGCGCCGCTCCCTCTCGCGTGATTCCGCGTGCTGTTGAGGGTTTAGGGTTTAGGGTTTAGGGTTTAGGGTTTAGGGTTTAGGGTTTAGGGGCCTCCTTTGTGAGGTGAAGTTAGAGATGCTCCCCCTTAGACTAACAGTCCTTAATAGGAAAGATAGTAGGGGATACTCTCATTCCTACTAGCATAAGGGGGAACATCCCGAAGGTCAAGTCCTAAACCCTAAACCCTAAACCCTACTCCTTAACCCGTAAACCCTAAACCCTAAACCCTAAACCCTAAATCCCACAAGTTAAAATCCTAATGGATCTCAGGTGCTGCGCTCCACCCTGCGGCCGAGCCTGGCGCGCTCCGTGGCACGGCGCTCCGCACGGCTGGCGCGGCGCTGGCTCAGCCACGAGGACCTTCAGTCAGAGCAGCCAGAGCAGCCGGAGGGTTTAGGATTTATAGGGTTTAGGGTTTAGGGTTTAGGGTTTAGGGTTTAGGGTAGGGCAAAGGGGCGAAGCAGTGAAGCCTCTGCGGAGGCAAGGTGTGAAGACGGTTGGAGATCCGAGCAGCTACTGTCAGCTTTCATCTGCAAGGATGGAGTTGTTCATTAGGGTTTAGGGTTTAGGGTTTAGGGTTTAGGCTTGAGGGTTTAGGGTTTAGAGCTTAGGGTCTTCCGATCGTTTCTGTTCTGCCTGCTGGCAGCGCAGGATGCCATGCACTACCTCGCGCGCGTGATTCTTGCGGTGGCGGAAGCGCAGGGAAAAGGCTGAAGAGCCGACACAGGGGGCGATTATGGAGTGCAAGATGCAAGTCCTCCGTCATGACTATGATTTCTGGGCTCGGCGCTAACAGTGGACCTAGCAAACGTAGCTGCTGCGAAGTATCCCACCAGCTTCAACCCACGTAGCTGCCCGAGCTTGGCCATGCAGCAGCCAGGACCCGTGCTAGCGTGTTAGGTCGGTGAGTCTTTGAGAGCGTCTGGTGTGTCATTCGCTTCGAATAGGCCCAACCCCCCCGCCCGCCGGTGCTCCGTTCTCAGCACCAGTCCAGAACGGATGCTTTAGGTCAAACTTTGTCATGTCGACTCTGCAAGCGCCTGTTGCGCAGGACAGCAGGCGACCGAGCTGGCCATGCAGAGCTCCGTGAGCGCCGTGGTGGCTCGCATCCGCGCTCGCAGCTGTGGCACGCCGATGCCCTTCACCTCGCAGGTGCCTGTCCAGAACTCGGAGTCCGGCCGAGGAGGGGCTTGAAGTGCTTGAAGTGCTTGAGCGATTTCAGGAAGCAGGCAACCTAAATCTATTCCAGGGCATCAGCGCGATCTCCCGTCAATTCCCGTCACGAACTTTTCGAAAAGATGTCATGATGAAATTTCTTTGGGTCCGAACATTTAAATGTCACGATGTGGCAATGCGATGCTTGTTGCTCGCCTAGAAACGTAGATGCCAGGCCTCCGACCCTCTTGATACTAGGCCCTTTGCTGCAAAAGGCGTGACATCCGGAAAAGCTCCAATCCTTACACGTGACGTTTGTATATGGGCTGAAGATGTTGAAGATTGCCGGATGTTTTGGGGATTTCAGAAGTTGAAGTGGCGTCGCTGCTTTGAGGATACACGCTTGGCCGCGAGTATCCATGCATGGGCAACGGCTCCATGCTGAGCAGCATTCTGGCTCCAGTTGGCGTCAGCTTAACTTTCTGCGTGATTGTGGGCAAGTCCCTCCACATGTTCGGCAAGTGAGCCTGCTGGCAGTTAGCAGATGTTAGCGACATCCATTGCGGGTGGCCTGACCATCCGGGCCACGCGAAGCCGTTCCTTTGAGTCCACTCCATTTCACTCAGCAATTGTGTCCCATGTACAGCGCCCTAGAGCGGCAAATTCACGGCTGTCATACAGAGCCGTGCCACAACCAGCAACCCTGCGGTGCCCCCTGTTCGCCACCCATGCTGGCAACAGGCCGGGATGCGCAGCGGCACAGCCTGCCGTAAGGTACGGACGTGCCTCAGAAGACCACACCTGACACATGGCTACGAATCGCTACGAGGTTCAAGCTTGCTATGCGGTGCTTGCAGCATCGACCGTGCGTCTCGACCTCGACACTTCGAGACAGGATCGCATCGTGCGCGCGGGCTCAATTGGCGGTGACAGTGGACGTAGCCGCTGCAGAGGGCCCTGCCTAAAGTATCTTAGCTCCTACTTCCCGCCCAAGCGTCGTCATCATGCAGCAGCCAGGACCGCATTGACCGTATGGAGATGGTGAAGTTTTCGGTTGGTTTTGACACAATGTGGGAAGCCGTGGGACTCTGCCAGCGCCTGTTGCGCAGGACAGCAGGCGACCGAGCTGGCCGTGCAGAGCTCCGTGAGCGCCGTGGTGGCTCGCATCCGCGCTCGCAGCTGTGGCACGCCGATGCCCTTCACCTCGCAGGTGCCTGTCCAGAACTCGGAGTCCGGCCGAGGAGGGGCTTGAAGTGGTTGAACGGTTTCCCCGACTTTCAGAGTCAGGCTTTAGGCTGAAGAGTTCAGGCTTAGGTTTCTGGCTTCCGACCCCAGGTCTTAACAAGGGGAGCCAGGGGTCTTGACATTAGGAGGGTATTATTGTCAGGGGGAGCGATTAATCCAGGCCGTGAGCGTGGTCTCCCGTCAGTTCCCGTCACGAACTTTTCGAAAAGATGTCATGATGAAACCTCTTTGGGTTCGAACATTTGAATGTCACGATGTGGCAATGCGATGCTTGTTGCTCGCCTAGAACCATAAATGTCAGGCATCCGAACCCTCTTGATTTCAGGCCCTTTGCCGCAAAAGGCGTGACATCCGGAAAAGCTCCAATCCTTTCACATGAAGATGTTGAAGATTGCCGGATGTTTTGGGATTTCAGAAGTTGAAGTGGCGTCGCTGCTTTGAGGATACACGCTTGGCCGCGAGTATCCATGCATGGGCAACGGGTCCATGCTGAGCAGCATTCTGGCTCCAGTTGGCGTCAGCCTAACTTTCTGCGTGATTGTGGGCAAGTCCCTCCACATGTTCGGCAAGTGAGCCTGCTGGCAGTTGGCAGATGTTAGCGACATCCACTGCGGGTGGCCTGACCATCCGGGCCACGCGAAGCCGTTCCTTTGAGTCCACTCCATTTGACTCAGCAATTGTGTCCCATGTACAGAGCCATAGAGTGGCAAATTCACGGCTGTCATACAGAGCCGTGCCACAACCAGCAACCCTGCGGTGCCCCCTGTTCGCCACCCATGCTGGCAACAGGCCGGGATGCGCAGCGGCACAGCCTGCCGTAAGGTACGGACGTGCCTCAGAAGACCACACCTGACATATGGCTACGAATCGCTACGAGGTTCAAACTTGCTATGCGGTGCTTGCAGCATCGACCGTGCGTCTCGACCTCGACACTTCGAGACAGGATCGCATCGTGCGCGCGGGCTCAACTGGCGGTGACAGTGGACGTAGCCGCTGCAGAGGATCCTGCCTAAAGTATCTTAGCTCCTACTTCCCGCCCAAGCCTCGTCATCATGCAGCAGCCAGGACCGTATGGAGATGGTGAAGTTTTCGGTTGGTTTTGGCACAATGTGAGAAGCCGTGGGCTCTGCAAGCGCCTGTTGTGCAGGACAGCAGGCGACGGAGCTGGCCGTGCAGAGCTCTGTGAGCGCTGCGGTGGCTCGCATCCGCGCTCGCAGCTGTGGCACGCCGATGCCCTTCACCTCGCAGGTGCCCGTCCAGAACTCGGAGTCCGGCCGAGGAGGGGCTTGAAGTGGTTGAACGGTTTCCCCGACTTTCAGAGTCAGGCTTTAGGCTGAAGAGTTCAGGCTTAGGTTTCTGGCTTCCGACCCCAGGTCTTAACAAGGGGAGCCAGGGGTTTTTAACATTATCACGAACTTTTGGAAAAGATGTCTCACTTTCACCAACTGCGAAGCTGCGAATATCTTAAATGTCACGATGTGGCAATCCACACAGGGGGGACGCGGGGGTATTCAACCTTGAGCCCTAACCCCCAACCACACCCACAGGAGGGGCGCGGGGTTATTAAACCTTAAACCCTGAACCCACAACCACGCCCACACCACAGCAAGGGCGCGGGGGCGCCCTTGAACCTTAATCCCTAACCCCCCAACAACACCCATGCCGCAGGGGGAGGGAGGGGGGTGGGGGTAGGGATACAAGGGTGGGGGGGGGGGGGGGGGATGCCGTGGGGTGGGGGGGGATGCCGTGGGGGTGGGGGGGGGGGGTGGGCGTGGCAGCACAGAGATGCTTGAAATTCAATCAACACCTTAAACAGAGTACGCGAGAAAACATGTTTTCAAGGCTGGTTATTTTAAGGAGTTTACACCAAAAGCATAGACTTTTCATTTTAGGGGTTTTGGGGTTCAGGTGCTCTCAGGTTTCTGGGGACCGGCGCGACCGGACCCTGACAATGGCGAGCTAACGCCGGAGATCCTGGCTACACGGGGCATTCGCACCTGGGGCCAAGGCCCCTACTCTCACGGTACACGCTCTCCTTGTTTTCAGTGTAGTACCTCATAAACAGGTACGACACTCTCCGCGGCGGGGCAAAATGCGACATTTGGGATCTTTGAAAACTTAGACGTCAAGAGTCCACACTTTATAAACTTTTTCCAGGGTAGCAGGGTCAGTGTCTTTTTTTGATTGGGGTTCAGGTTCAGGTAGGTTGTGGCTCAAGGATTCAGTGTCTGTCACTTACCCTAAACCACCCTAAACCCACCCTAAACCCTAAGCCTTAAGAACCAGAACCAATAGAACCAAACCCCCCCCTCCCCGCTGTCATGTGCTGCTCGACATCTTCGACGCCTTCGCCGCGCTGGGTCCCCCTAAGACCCCCCATGTCTGACCGATGAGGACAGCGTGGGCTAAGCCCTAAACCCTACACCCTAATCCTAAACCCTAAGCCCTAAATCCTAAACCCTAAAGGGTTTTAAGCCCTTTCTTGCCTGAGCCAAAGCACTGCTGAGCATAGAACTTAAGCGAGGATGGTTGGTCAGCTGTTAGTGTCGTTGCCTCATGACTTCGCCAGTTGGACTCGAGAGCGCCCTCACGTGAAAGGAGACTGCCAGTGCACATTGCTTCAATGGCGCAATGCTTAGCTGACGTTTTGTTGATTTGGGTTTTGAGGTGGAGCGTCGCGTTGTCCATAGAAGTGACGGGGCTGTCGTCGCGTGCACTTGCTACTGAAATGCAGATGCCTCAGACGCACGAATACGGCATCGTCGAACCAGCCACCCCCTTAAGTGCATCAATCAAGCACTGCTAGCACATAGTGTCCTTCTAGTGTGAAATTTCCCTGTTGACGAACCCCAAAGCTAGGCCTTCAAGATGCTTCCGTGCGAGTCTTACAATTGAGTACTCGTAGCCAGTGTAACCCTTGCAGATGGAAAGCTCGCTGTTGACAGTTACTCGTAGCCGAGTGTAGATGTGTAGAGACTGTTGTCGCCCCGCCGTGTGCTAGCGCCTCAAGGCCCGGCAACTGAGGCCGAAGACTCAGTACTCCCCTTCTTTCTTGTCCTGTAGATAAGCAAGCGCAGTGGACTTGGAGTTTTCCGACATTGTAGCTCCCAACCCAGGTATTGCGGCCCAGTGTCAGGGGTGTTCACGCACCGGATCGTAGAAAGGAACCGCGCGTGGATGTGCAACTCGCAACATGTCAGCAGCGCTGGCTTCAGGTCGGTCGGCGCCTGGCTGATGCACCCGGCGCCACGACTAACACATTGGTGTTTGGGGCCTGCGTGCCGGACGAAATTTGAAGTAGTTGTCGTCGTCATAGCATCGCCTGGTGGCGGTCGAAGTTCATGGAAATCTTGACTCACCAGTTTGGATTCGGTCCTGTTTTGTTTCATGCTGTTTCTAGCTCGTCAACTCGAAGACCGACCAGCGTTGGTCTGTACTGTGGGACATCTTGTTCAGTCTGCAATGCACACCGGAAACATTTCTGAAAAGCAAAGCTGCTTGAGGCCAGTCGACCCGACGGATGATGAAGATGATGGAGGAGATGGTGGAGGACGGCGTGACTCTAAACCCGATAGTGCTGGAAACGTGGTGGAGCAGCTCTGCTATGCCGCGCTTGTGGGCCTGCAATCTTCATTATATACGGGCGAACGCCGTGGCACGGGTGCATGGGCCGCAGTGCGTTTGAACCAGTGTCGTTTGAGATGCTGGACATGGAGTCACGGCATGCCGTGACCGCGTGACGCCCCAATGCCTTGGCAGCTGCCCGATGTCGTCGCAAGGTCAGCTGGTCTGACTCTGCGGCTCTTTGGACAGCATGGAATGTGCGTTGGCCTACCAACCAGCGCCCTGACAACAAGGGACGCCGAGGAAAATCAACTTTACGCACTTCGAGGTAAGTCCGGGTTGCTTGATGGCTGGGTTCAATTGTCCACACTCTCATGTCCAAGTGTCGCATGACTGCTCGTGGTGCTGCGCCAAAGCACTTGAACGGCTGTGCAATTTCCTATTCTTGCAAGCGCTGTAGCTCGTCAAGACACGCCCGCAGTTGTTGTAGCCAAGATGCCTGGCCTTGAAGTTCGCAAAGTCTCTGTCGCGTGTCACACATATATATATATATATGTGGTCTTCCCCAGCTTCCTCCAGCGGTGCTAGCAGTCCCTCGCTTAGCTTCAGCTTGTCAGTCAGTGATGCTTGGTGCTGACGCACGCGGGACATGGCAGTCGTAGCCCATTTGGCACACGCAGCCGATTCATTTCTGACCTTTGAGGCTGGTTCGTGAACCTGTGCACAAACTTGGACCTGGGCCCGTGTCGCTTGCCCTCATTGTAGCTGTGTCTCTACTGCGCCGGCGCAGTGGGTCAGCTTGACAGTGCAAGTGCAGCAGCTCACAGGGTGCATAAGGGTACGGCCCGCAGGTTCAGGAGTTCTCGGGGTTTCTAGTTCACCGCGTCAAACTCCAGCCAACCTGCGTGCCCGCGCGTTTATCATTGCCGGACGGAAGTCTGCAGGGAACTTCGATTCTTTCTGGTCTGAGACGCCATATGTGGTGGCGGGAGCGCACGCCGAAGGGCGCAGTCTCCGCACGGTGCTGTCGGCGAATGAGCGAGCAATCCGTTCCTCCTGACACTAACTTCGCCCCCCTCTGCCACCCCCCATTATTCTAACATCCGGTCCGGCTGGAACATATCGGGTGCCCCGAGTTCTAGACCGGGGGGGGGGTTTCCGGCAACAAATTGGGAGGTTCAGTGTTAGGGGGGACCTGTGCCACGGCCGAAGTGCTGTTTATGCATCGTTAGCACGAGAGGAGGTGCTTGCTGCGTTTTGTTGTTTGAGCTTGGGCGTGCCTGTTTTCGTGGTTGTTCATGGAGCTGCCAGTCCTGGCATGGGCCGCAATGCGCAGTTGACTTGTCCATGGTTCCCCTATACTGCAAAGCCTGCCGCGTCCTGTAGCAGAATCTTTTCGGGAACTGTCGTTGCTCATCATTGTTGTAGTCCTCGCTCGTAACAGCATCTTGCTGTTCATGGCAGCCCGAGCTCGTGTCGAGAGTTCCATTTTCACAAGCGTGTCTGCGCGCCTTCCACAAGGCAACCGTTGGAGTTTGGCCACCAGGAACTTGCTAAAACAGTTCCGGAACAACGTAGAGCTTGCAAAGTCGCAGCAATGCTAGCCGCGGCTCGACGTAGGCGGGATCAACTCAAGGTCTCATGTCCTTGCCAGCGCGTAGAACTGCGCGTAGAAAATCTGAGAAGGACACATCGTGCTGCAGCGTACAGTGGCCCCGCAATATTGCTTCATGCCAGATCGGGTTCATGCTGCGAGTAGTGATTGTAGTGTGGAATATGGGTGCGGAAAGTTGATGCACATTCAGGCCTGTTTTGGCACAGCGGACCCTCTTTGAGTTAGTGTCCCATCTCACTCATCAATCCCCCGAGCTATGGATCGATGCATGCTGGTGGAGGCTTTCCGACGTTGCACAGTGCCGTATTCTTTACGCCTTTGCGGGCAGTCCAGCTAGAATTGTGGGACTGACTCGCCCTCGAGCCTTGTATATAGGCACTGAGCAGGGCCCATGAATGAGCTTGCGCAGGCGCTGAAAGAATGCTTCACCGATCTGTTGCACTTCGACCTTGGCTAAGCTTGCGTGGCTTGCATGAAGGGTCAGCAGTTTCTTCAAATCAAAGTGTTGTGCTCGTGTTGCACTCGTGTTTCGCCTGCGAGGCGATGGATCCCTTCCGTGGGGTCGGTGGGGGTGACAGGCGGGGCGTGCGCTGGAGTGTTAGGCACCCAAAGACTTCAAGAGCGCTGCCCTGGCGAGGATTGCAATTACACCAAGGTCCCAAAGACTTTAGAAATGTGAAGAACAGCCTCCAACACGAGTCTTAGGATCTACGGCCTCATAATTGTGTGTCCCAGGTGTGCTGCGCTGGAGCCGGCGCTTGCAGGCACGCAGGCATCGCACACAAGACTCATCACATGCTGCACGCAGATGGCGTCTGAAAGCCTTTTAAACCTTTTTTCTCTTTTTTTGCCCCCCCCCCCTTCCCCTCCACAGGCGATCGCTATGTCTGGCAATCTCCTTGCCGGAGTAAGATGTATCGGGGCATCATGTAGCCTCTGCTCACGGCTTGTGTCTTCCTATTCGTTAGAAGACGTGTTGAAGTCAGGATTGTTAGAACTCCTCATGGTACTTGCTGATTTGTTGTCCACTTTTGACAAATGTGTATCGTGAAACGTCTTGAGCTCAAGACGCCAATCGAAGATGGAAGATCACCAATTCTCGGGGTGACTTTTCCGTTCCCTGGAATCTTCGATTATCGATCTCTGGCTTGACATCTTGGGCTCAAGACGCTTCAAGACGCAATCGAAGATTCCAGGGAGAAGTCCACTCAGAGTTTTCGATCTTCAATCTTCGGCTTGGCGTCTTGAACTCAAGACGACGAGATCGGGCAAGCGTATATATACACACGCGTGCAATATACACATGTAAACGCAAATACTTCCACGAAACATGCGACAAGAGTTTGAGTCGGCCCAGGAATGGCTGTAGGAAGGAGAGCCGCAACTCCAAGGATGCCCGGCGCTATACAGAGTTTCAGAACCAGTACGAGTGAGAAAGAAGCGTCACAGAACGTGTGGCCTTCAAAGTTTTCCCATTTAGGGTTTAGGGTTTAGGTTTTAGGGTTTAGGGTTGTATGTTCACTGCTGGGTGCTCTGACGAATTCTCGGCATCAACTTGTTGATCTTTCCACGAAGGGCCTCCCAGTGTGCAAGATACACCTGGACCGGTGCGTGTGGATCCAAGTGGGCGGTGTGTTTCATTTACCTGGCCCTCACTCTAGCGACCGTATCCCAGGCCTGCAAGTGGTGCAGAAAGCCGCGCTTGTGGTTCGAGGCTCCATAGAAGTTTGGCTTTGGATCAGAAGCTTGCCGATTACCGTCTTGTTGCGAGTCGGGGGACATCAGAGGACAATTGTTTTGATGGACATGTGCTGTCTCAAGTACAAAGTGCCAACGTGATTCCATGGTCAGGCCCTGCGTCGCTGGCGTCATCGGGTGCGCCTCGCCACTGGGCGCAGTTGCGGTGCCACGGTGCACCCTTCAGTCGCACATCCCAGGCCACCATCCAGGAGACGGGGCAATCGGAGGCTGAGTCGGGCCTGGCATTTTGGGACGCTGGACGTAATGATTTCGGTTTTGAGGTCTTTGCGGAGTAAGCACTGGGCCGGTGTGACAGGAAAATCGTTGCGGGAACTGGCCTGCGAAACCACGGCGGGGAGTGTTCCTATATGCGTCACTTGTTTGCTCTCAGAGCCCTTTCGCTGAACACAGCACATGTGGGTTTGAGGGCCCTTTTTGACTCAAGAGCCATGATCGAGGTAAAAAAGGGGATCTGTCAGGGGTATACCGCCTTCAGGGTCCACTTGGCCCTAAATCCTCGAAAGCTTCAGACAGCTCAAGCAGCTTCAACCAACCCTGTTTACTGTAAACCTTTGCTGGTGCTGATGGCGCGGGTAGGTTTTTTGGGGATGTTAATTTTGAGGGTGTCGGCAGCTCAGTCCATGCTGTTTGATGCTGTTCTTTCGCATTCGAAGACAGTGCTGCCGAAATGAAATCGTGGGAGAGCATGCCCTTCTTGACACACATTGCTGTCACTGTACGGCTTCGGGTTCCTTTCACGGCCTCAGCTAATTTCGGTTACAGGTCGTGCGCTTTCTGGTTACATGGATTTCGGGGTATGGGATGAAGTACGAGTTGTTGCTGCTGGTTGTTTGGATGTAGGGGCATGGGAGAAGTAGAAAGAGTATCATTTGTTGCCGCTGGCGTGTGGGATGTTGGATGTTGGGGCGGTGTTTCAGATGTGGGGCAGTGGATTTGTTGCTGCTGGTGTGTGGGATGCGGGGGCATGGGGGGATGTACGATTTTTCGTTGATGTTTCGGATGTGGTTGCCGTTGGTGTGTGGGATGTGGGGGCACGGAAAGAAGTACGATTTGTTTCCGCTGCTAGTGTGGATATCGCGGCAGGGGATGAAGTACGATTTATTGCCGCTGGTGTGTTTGGATTTGGGGACATGGGAAGAAGTGCGACTTGCTGCCGCTATTGATTTGGAGTTCGATGTGCTTTTGCTGTTTTTGTTGGGATGTGGGGTAGTTCTGGGAGGAAGCAAGATTGTCATTCATATTAAGGCAACACGCATATTATCATACAAGCAAAATGGTAATTCACTGAGCCTGATGCTATCTTACCTATTGGGGTCTTCGCTGGTACAACTGATGGAAACCTGGCTTCTCCAAGCAACACCGTGAAGAGCCGGAACGCCCAGGCCTCCCTCAACACGGAAGATCCCGCAACGTCCCTTTGGACATCATGGTCTTGAGACTTTTTGAAGGGAACCGTTTCAGTCGTCAAAACTTCGTCAACTTATGTGTGCCACATGCGCCCGAGACAGGCCTGGCAGAAGAAGAGCCAGACTGAGAATCGCAGACGTCGCAACAAACGTATGCCTGGTCATCGTATCGTAAACGGAATGACAGACACCTTGAAACGAATCGATCTCATGCATGCAGGTTATAGATGGTTATAGTAGCTTTTTGGCTCCAAGGTCCAGCTGCCCTTCTGCAGTGAGCATGAAGGGCCTTGTTTCGATGGCTGGCTACGGCTTCGTGGGGGCTCTGATCCTAGGCCGTAAGACCGATAAGACCAGTGGCGCTAATCTGCTCCATGTCGGCCTCAGCACGGATTTCTAGACTTTTTCAGGCAATTGGAAGTCAACGCAGCACCCAGCAACCAAGAGTAGGGAGCTGGAGCTGTTTTAGGCAGACGTAGTGATGTCAGGATGTAGAGGCCTTGAGTCTAGAACCTACCCAGCTAGCGCCCCATCCTTTGCAAGGATCTGCCGGTTTAGTTCTTGCTGGGCCTTGAGGACCAAGATCCCAAAATGTAATGCGGTTCGTAAACAGGCTTGGATTGAAGGTTAGGGTTTGTGGCGCTCAGAAGCTGTGGCCCGAAGCCGTCGCATTGTGTCTTAGGACGTGCCACACGTGCTAAGCAGAAGGATCCGAAGCAAAGGTTTCTCAACTCCTTGGACAGGGGATAAGCTGAGCGCTGCAGCAGTATGCAGCAGCCATAGTGGCTAGGAAGACACGGTGGTATCTCGCTGCACGTGTGAAGCACGCGGGAACCACGTTTGCAAAGGTAGAGCAGGGTGCCACCTGTGCCCCACATGACTTCTTGACGCGACTTTGAACATCGTCGCTTCTAAGCGCAGTCATCAAGCCTTGCTTGTCATTACGTGACAGAACCGGCTACAGATCCCCCACAGCCCAACAAAGAACTGCTCCGGGACCTGGCCACCGGACGGCCTTAAGGTCTTGCGGAACCCGCAAGACGTACCTCCTTGTACATATTGCGGCCGCTGAACCAGATCTCCGACACAAGCAAGCAACCCTACAAGGTGTAAGTCTGATTCAATTCACAGCGCATGTCTCACTGGAAGTCTGGTTGGCTAATGGCCATAGGTGATGGTCTGTTGGTGCAGCTGGCTCCGAGGCGCTGAACACCACGCCACGGCCAGTCGTTGATGCTTCAGATCGTCCTTGGCCCACCCTTTGACGTGGCCGAGCATGAATTTCTTCGTGTTGCCGTCCACCAGATCCACCGCATCTCGTGACGAGATTGAACCTGGAGCGGAGCAAAAAAGCACAAACAATGGGAAGAAGGGGGATGCCTTGCTGCAGCGCAGGGACTTTGCTGTGGTAGTGGGGGCAGTGGGGATGGTAGGAGTTGCCATTGCTGTATTCCAAGGCAGGCAACACGGCTTTCTTGCCCCTTTTGCTCCTTTCATAGATACACCATGTGGACTGCCAGTGTCAACTGCCAGTGGAGCGCTTATACCCTGAACCAGCTGCGTCGGCTGAAGACACGCCGGCGCAGCTGCCTCATGCAGGATCTTGCAGTGTTCACGACAGCTGCCTTCACCTTATAGCATCTGCGTGCATCATGAGATTGAGCTTGCACTGCAGCCGCTGGAGGAACGAACGCCCTTTCTTGACCTGACTGTCATCCCAATAGAAACCTCTAAGGGTAGCTCTCGAAGTTAGGGTCCCTGTTTGGGATCCCTCTTTAAAAGGTGCCGCCTCCCTAAAAGGTATCCAACAAGGGACCCTGATTTAGGAAACTACACCAAATAATCTCACTTGGGGCTTTCACCTGCGAAGCTGCGAAAATCAGACAGGATCGCATCGTGTGCGCGGGCTCAATTGGCGGCGACAGTGGACGTAGCCGCTGCAGAGGATCCTGCCTAAAGTATCTTAGCCCCTACTTCCCTCCCAAGCCTCGTCATCATGCAGCAGCCAGGACCGTATGCAGATGCACAATGTGGGAAGCCGTGGGACTCTGCAAGCGCCTGTTGTGCAGGACAGCAGGCGACCGAGCTGGCCATGCAGAGCTCTGTGAGCGCTGTGGTGGCTCGCATCCGCGCTCGCAGCTGTGGCACGCCGATGCCCTTCACCTCGCAGGTGCCCGTCCAGAACTCGGAGTCCGGCCGAGGAGGGGCTTGAAGTGCTTGAACGATTTCAGGAACGAGGCAACCTAAATCTATTCCAGGCCATCAGCGTGGTCTCTCGTCATTTCCCTTCACGAACTTTCCGATAAGATGTCATGATGACAGGTGATGATGAAAGCTCACGATGAGCGGTCATGATGAAATTTCTATGGGTTCGAACATTCTCTCTTCACTTTCACCAACTGCGAAGCTGCGAAAATCTTAAATGTCACGATGTGGCAATGCGATGCTTGTTGCTCGCCGAGAACCGTAAATGCCAGGCCTCCGACCCTTTTGATACTAGGCCCTTTGCCGCAAAAGGCGTGACATCCGGAAAAGCTCCAATCCTTACACTGCATATGGGCTGAAGATGTTGAAGATTGCCGGGTGTTTTGGGATTTCAGAAGTTGAAGTGGCGTCGCTGCTTTGAGGATACACGCTTGGCCGCGAGTATCCATGCATGGGCAACGGGTCCATGCTGAGCAGCATTCTGGCTCCAGTTGGCGTCAGCCTAACTTTCTGCGTGATTGTGGGCAAGTCCCTCCACATGTTCGGCAAGTGAGCCTGCTGGCAGTTAGCAGATGTTAGCGACATCCATTGCGGGTGGCCTGACCATCCGGGCCATGCGAAGCCGTTCCTTTGAGTCCACTCCATTTCACTCAGCAATTGTATCCAATGTACAGTGCCCTAGAGCGGCAAATTCACGGCTGTCATACAGAGCCGTGCCACAACCAGCAACCCTGCGGTGCCCCCTGTTCGCCACCTATGCTGGCAACAGGCCGGGATGCGCAGCTGCACAGTCTGCCATAAGGTACGGACGTGCCTCAGAAGACCACACCTGACACATCGCTACGAATCGCTACGAGGTTCAAACTTGCTGTGCGGTGCTGCAGCATCGACCGTGCGTCTCGACCTCGACACTTCGAGACAGGATGCGGGCACTTAGGGGCACGAGTTTGGATCCGATTCTCTTTTTTTGTTGTTTAAAAAGTTAATGCAAAATGCTAACATAGCAGCGCTTGATCGCACAGTTGGCTGCTGTATGCCAACTGCTTTCTGCAAGATTTGACGCTATCCGAGTGATCTGTAAGCTCGTAGCCCCATCTTAAGTGTCCAATGAAGCCGTGCATCGTTGCACTGGTGCTGTGGCAGCTCGCCGTGTCCAGCAAGCTGCACCAGCCTGACCTACTACATGATGGGGTCGGGAGCGCAGACGACGAGGATGAGCCGCTCCTTCACCCAGACGAGATGTCCGTCAGCTTCCGCGAAGCGGAGCGCGAGGTGGAGGACGACGAAGGTGAGGAAGCAACCGGACCAAGCGAGATGGAGGGAGATCCTGTCTTCGAGACAACCCACGACGGCAGCTGGGTTGGTGCATAGGGTTTAGGGGTTTAGGGTTTAGGGTATGTAGTTTCAGATGTGGGTTTTGGCCCCTTATCCTGGGTGAACAGTACTTGCTAGCCTGAGGCAAGAACTCGCCGCAGCTCTCGCTGTTTCTGGAAGGCTTGTCCCTGGAAGATCAGCAGGACTTCGAAATCCAGAATCCCGGCTGTCCTGGATGGTGTTGATGTTTCAGAAAAAGGATCCTGATCGTAGGGAGGTGCTGCTACCCTATATGAACCCTAAAGGTGCCCGCGTGTGTCGGGGTTGAGGTTTTGTAAGGCTGAAGGAGCGTGTTCAGACGAAAGTTCACGACGACCTGGCATGGGGGTCTGGGATTTAGGCTGTAGGGTTTACGGTTTACGGGCTTAGGGTTTACGGGTTTAGGGTTTAGGGTTGAGGGTTGAGGGTTTAGGATTTAGGGTTTAGGGCTTAGAGCCCCCAGGAAGGCGGAAGGCCTGCGCGAGGCGCAGGAGATGGCCGCGCGATCGCGCGAGGCGGCCGTGAGGATGGTCGAAGATGCGAGCCACGGCCGGATTGAGGGCTTATAGGGTCCTACGAGTTGCTTAAGAACCCCCCCCCCCCAAAAAAAAAAAAGCAAAAACAAAAAGAGACAATATTCTTCCTTGTAAGGGCAATTTTGGGTTTTTTTTGAATGTGTTTTTTTGGGGGTTCTTCAGCAAACAGTAGGGTTTAGACGGGTTTAGATGGCAAGGTAAGGTTTCGTGATACGGGCTGGTGGACTACATGGAGTGAAGCCATTGTATGGCATCCCTAAACCCCTATAAAATCTACAAGCTCTACTCAGCCCGTAAGCCCTACAGTCCCGACAGCCTTAGAGTATTCGATAAGAGTCTGAATATCTTCTGGCATTATTGCATCGTTATATTGCTATCTCATTATCTCGCTATATCCTTGTACAATTATCTTACTTCATTCTATATTCTTATGTTAATGCCATCGTTTTCAACTTTTTATATATTAAATGCATGGCGGCGTCAGGATCTATGCCGAAGCCGGCGAGGATGGAGTTCTCGTGGTCGGGAACTTTGCAGAGCGGAACCCATGCGAAAATGTGGGTTACCTGGCACCCCGAAACTCAAAAAAGGCCCCAAACACCTTGCATGGGAACTCCTACATAAACCCTAAACCCTAAACCGTTTGGGCCCAAGAACCCCAAAGTAGGAGCTCTTCGAGCCTCAGGACGCATGAGGGGGGCAATCGGCTTCCTTGCTTTGGAATAAAGCGCTCACAAAAGGATTCAGGGCTTAGAGTCAAGCATCTCAGGCTACTTGCACCAAACCTTTGTCCACGTTGACCACAATGCCGCCACCTTTGTATGCCGTCCGTGTCATGCAGATTGCGATGGCACCTGCTATGGCCCCGACCTCCACGACTGTGAAGAAATCGCGAAGAATCTCAGACTAAAAAGAGCTGCGAGGCTTGAAGAATGAAAGCCCAAAGGCTCGTGAAGACCCGAGAGGCAAATCCCCAGGCGCCACCCCTAAACCCTAAACCCTAAACCCTAAACCCTAAACCCTAAACCCTAAACCCTAAACCCTAAACCCTAAACCCTAAACCCTAAACCCTAAACCCTAAACCCGAACCTCGAAGCAAACCTCGAAGGGCCCCTGGATTCTGAGCACCTGGGCGGGGACTAAGGAAGCGAAAGCGGGTCAAGAACCGAGTTCCTGTCACTCTGTTCCAGGACTGCCGAGAAGTGTTCGCTGAGAAGTCTGAGAAGCCAGAAGTCAAGTTCACCCCCGAAACCCTAAACCCTGAACCCTAAACCCTAAACCCTAAACCCTAAGCCCTAAGCCCTAAGCCCTAAGCCCTAAAAACCGGTGGCAGGACTCCAGTCTCAAGCACTTCCGGCAGAGCTTCGAGGAGTCGTTTCAGATGCTGAGAAACGCCGGCCTCAGCGTGAACGACACCAACTACACCGACACTAGGGTTTAGGGTTTAGGGTTTAGGGTTTAGGGTTTGGGTTTAGGGTTTAGGGTTTAGGGTTTAGGGTTTTGGGTTTAGGGTTTAGGGTTTAGGGTTTAGGGTTGAGGTAGGCCATGGGGATTTGTTCATGTCTTCCCTTCTTTCTGGGATTAAGAGGGATCACCTTCAGGAATGTTTTTCCATACCCCAAACCCCAAACGCCAAACCCTAGACCCCAAACCCGAAACCCCAAACCCTAAACCTATCTAGGAATATTCATTCAGAAGGGTGTTAAGGGGCCATCCAAGGACGACACCATCCCAGATGAGATGGTCGAGTGCATGGAGACGGGCGAGTGCCTTACTGTTTGTTAGGGGTTTAGGGTTTAGGGTTTAGGGCTTAGGGCTTAGGGTTTAGGGTTGTTGGGTAGGGAATGGGGGGGAATTAAGGTGCCACAATATAATCACTTAAAGGGTATTTAGAGGGGATATAATATACGCTGAACCCTAAACCCTGGACCCTAAACCCTAAGCCCTGAACCCTAAACCCCAAACCCTAAACCCCAAACCCCAAACCCCAAACCCCAAACCCCAAACCCCAAACCCTAAACCCTAAACCCAAAACCCCAAACCCTAAACCCTAAACCCTAAACCCCCCCACAGTAGCAGGTGCAGCATGGAGAGCACCAACATCACAGAGGCCGATGGGGACCTGGAGTTCGAGAACAGCTCCGCCGAGCTCCTTAGACCCCTTTTAAGGGATTCTAATTACGTATCTTAATGTACCCTTTCAGGGCATATATATATATACACATATATATATATATAGATATATATATATATATATATATATATCCCCTGATATACCTTTTAAAGGATTAGATATCCATATATCCCCTACATACCCTTTAAAGGATTATATATATACATATATATATATATATCCCCTATATACCCTTTAGCCAACACCAAGGCTCTTCGCCATGACCCCCGACCCCGAGGCGGCCACTGTGGACGTGCGCACCTTGCGCCTGGGCAAGGGTCGAACATGATTTTTTTGCAAGTTTAGGAAGACTTAACCCAATTGTAAGGAGCAAACATGATCTTCTTATGAGCCTTTGTGATTAAGCCCAATTCAAGAAGGATCATCTTTAAACAGTGGTCCCCAACAATGGTGCAGGCACTCGGGTGTGCAGAATGCCATCGACGCGGAGCTGTCGAGGCGTGGCTTGATCCCAGTTCGAGAAGACATCGATGAGAACCACTCTTACGAGGTCCCCATGACCGACTCTGAAAAGGAGGATGGCCCGATCAGAGGAGAGCCTGCAGACCAGCTCGCCGGAAGCTTGCTGCAGATGATGGCAAACGCAACGGAAGAAGACGTGGATGTGAATATCATCGAGACTCAAGAAGAGAGCTGCGCGCAGCTGAACCGCTCTAATCGTTCTGGCGGAGTTACTCTGCTGCAGTTCAACGCATTCATGAGGGGCGAGTACAAGGATGTGAGCAGGCTGGAGCGCAAGAAGAGAATCAAGGCGTATGCGAAGAGCATCGTCGTGAGCTTGCTGGGCGTTGACAACCCCTGCGCTACTGCCATAGACCAACTCATGGGAGCGATGATGCAGATCTACGACTGCTACGAAACAGCCACCGCTTTCCGGGCTCCGCTTTGTGACCTTAAGGCCAAATACGTAGACATCAGGGACAGCTTGTGGACCATCATCATTGTGGCCCGCTCGGTCAAGACGTTTGCGAGCCCCTTCAGGTATCTCCCCTTTGTCAACGGCTTTGCGCACAAGGCGTACAAGATCATGGATCTCTTGGAAAAAAAGGTGACCCCGATGCACAAGAAGGTGAGGGACCTCAAGAAGTCTCCGCATGGGCAGCAGCATGAGAGCTCGAGCTGTTGCATGCCCAGCTTCTTGTTGGATGATGGGGCGAGAGCTGCATGCAAGGTCTGGCCCCACAAGGGCTACAGATGCGGCTCTTGCGAAGGTGGTGCTGTCTGCGGGGTCGTCAAGATGTGCAACACCTTCTTCTCAATGGAGACGGCCATCGACGACTTCTTTGTGAAGTGGATCTTGCCCTTCATGGGCGCCGCGTTCCTTCTGGTGCGCGAGGGCAATGGGCCACTGGCTTCTTGCGGCATCCATTCATGCGTGCCCTTGAAGAAGGTCTCCGACGAAGTCTACAACGCAATCCAGAGCTCCTTCCTCAGCAAGTGCCCTCCGAAGGCGCCGAGCATCAATTTCCCCAACATGGGGATCATGAACAAGGCCAAGCAAACCTTGGAGAAGGTCAAGTCATTCTTCAGTTTTCTCAGGGGAGTCCTTGCGAGACGGCATTGCGTCCGCCTCCCGTGGACGAGCTGTGAGTGGCGGTACTACACGAAGCGCGTCTGCTTCCGCTGCCCAGGCTGGGGACGCCGTCGTCGTTGGTCTGGCTTTCGCTGGCGGAGCTGCTGCATGCACATCAGGGTGAGGTACCCTCACTGCTGGTATTATTGGAGGTCCTTTTGCTTCAGCTTCCAGCAGATCTTGAAGGCACTGCTCCAAAAGCGCCCCAAGACCCCGAAACCTTGACTCCAGACCTCCCCACGAGCCCAAGGCGCCACGCACCCCAAGGCACCCTAAAGTCCCAAGGGTCCCAAAGGCCCTAAGTCGAAAAGGGGCCGATTCAAAGCCCTGGGCAGGGAATCAGTGGATGGCTGAGAAAATCTTTCGGCCCTGCTCTGAGCACCGTGAAGGCCCCGACCTGTTAATTTTTAAATTTTAATTCGCTACGCGACCCCCGCCTTGGCCTGAGCTTCTGTAACAAGGCAACCCAAACCAGGGGGCTGGGGGCAGGTGGGGTGGGGGAGGGGTGGGCAAAAACTTCGGAGGCCAATGCTTTTGGGGTTTGAAAGAGGTGGGACTATCATCTTTGTGGGGGTGGGGGGGGTGGGGGGCAGGTGGGCGGGGAGGGGGGGGTGGGGGTGGCGGCCTCTATGGCAGGCCCGGACACTTGTCGGCTAGGGGCGGTACCCATTTCAGTGTGGGGAGGGGAGAAGAGGTGGGGCGCCTGCTTTGTGCTACCCAGACACCGACGGCACAAGGCCTCGGCAGTTTTTTGCTTTTTGTTGGGGCTGGTTTGACAAACCCGAGGCCCTAAGCGCCCCCCCAATAGGGTGTTCGCCTTCGAATTTGGCCCCCCTTTGGGGCCCTGCTTCTGGCATAGAAAGAACTACCCTTTCGAAGCTCACACATCATCTCCGGAGGCTCAAAGGCTTTTCGGGCTTTGGGATTAGGGCGTTAGGTCCCAGACCATCAACACCACCTGAAGGTGTGTTCAAGCCCCACTCTCAAGCTTTTTGCAGTGCAAACGACAGTCTACAAACACCCAGAATTTTTGGGATGTTCACCTTTTTTCTCACAGTCCTGAATAGGGACTGTAGTACCCCCCATTCGAATCCATAGGAGCGGTTAGTATAAGGGGGAAACTCCTAACGTAGGATCTCGATGTTCTCCGTGTGCGCCGTGTACCTCGGAAGGCTGCTATCAATGTCCTTCTGTATCCGGTGAAGTGGATCATGGAGTTGCTCGGGCGTGGTTTTATTCTAGTCTTGAGTCGAGTTTCGGGTTCAGATGTGTAGTATACAGCTTACTATCCAAGACAAAGTAAGGGGCATGGTCGACCAGATCATGCGGCCGTTGAATTCTCTCAACATCGAGCTTCCCTTCAGCTTCGCAGATATGCTCCTTGATTGAAGGCTCAGGGGTAGTAATGAGTGGGGTTATAAGTAGGGTAACCCTCCTCCATAAAGTCAATTTGGCTGGGCTCTTCAGGACACCCTGACTGTTTGGGGGTATAGACCAGGTCCCGCTTTAAAGGCAAATCGTTCCCGAAATCCGGCATTTTTTTTCAAGGATTTAGGGCATGTTTCGGCCCGGAGGCTCCGAATTTTGGAAGTCCGCGGTCTCTTGGCTCAAAGCCGGGGCCCTGTGGTCTTAAAGCCGGGCATTGTGATGTTAAAGGCCGACCGCATCCATTCCAAACGGGCCCGAAACCATTAATTCCCTTTAAGAAAAAAATTTGGTTTCGTTCAGTCCGACGAACGGGTGGTCCAGGAGCCCCTCTCCACCCCGGATAATGGCTGACTCGGGACTCTGTTTGATGTCGGAGGCCCCGGCGCGCAGGCTCCGAAATTTGGAAAATCACACGGGTCCCTTGTACATTCATATAAGCTCACCCCTTTTAAATTCACACGGATCCCTTTAAAGTTGGGCTGCGTATTTATTTTTATTCTGACGGTTTTTTTTTCTTTATTCCTTCTGGGCCGGCCAAGAATTTGGGGGGGGGTTTTTCGGATTTTATTCTGCAGGTTTCTGCAGGTTATTCAGAGGGTTCCATTCCTTATTCCCCCTGTTGGGATTCTTATCCCCAAGGTTTGGTTTTTTATTCTCACGGTGCCCCCCTTTATTGCGAGGGTTTGTTTTTAAATTCTCCCCCCCCCCCCCCCCCCTCCCCTCCCCCTCCCCCCCCCCCCCCTCCCCCCCCCCCCCCCTCCCCCTCCCCCCCCCCCCTCCCCCTCCCCCCCCCCCCCCGTGCATGGCTTAAGTAGAATTAATTCAATTATTTCAATTAATTCAAAATTAATTTATTTATTTCCAAAGGGGGGGTGGGGGCTGGGGGCTGGGGAATTCCCCCCATTTGGAAATAAATGAATTATTTGAATTAATTGAATTAATTGAAATAATTGAATTACTTTAATTCATTGAATTAATTCAATTAATGTCAGCCCCCTTTGGAAATAAATGAATTAATTGAAGTTAATGAATTAAATTCTATCTGTGCAACCCTACAGGACCTAAAATAGGGTCTATTTGGAAGATGGCTCTTGTGAATAAGTATACGTTTTGGGGCCTGCTTTCCTCTTGTAAATACGAGTCCCAGCTTCCAAATAGACCCTATTTAAGCTGCACACCCCCCCCCCGCTCCCCTGCCCATTCCCTCCCCCCCCTCCCTCCCCCCTCCCCCCCCCCCCTTCCCCCCTCCCCCTTCTCCGTCCTCCTCCCCCCTTTTTTTGATTTGCTTTTCACTGCGTGTCGCACTGTGTGGGTGTGTGGGTGTGTGGGTGTGTGGGTGTGTGGGTGTGTGGGTGTGTGTGTGTGTGTGTGGGTGTGTGGGTGTGTGGGTGTGTGGGTGTGTGGGTGTGTGGGTGTGTGGGTGTGTGGGTGTGTGGGTGTGTGGGTGTGTGGGTGTGTGGTGTGTGGGTGTGTGGGTGTGTGGGTGTGTGGGTGTGTGGGTGTGTGGGTGTGTGGGTGTGTGGGTGTGTGGGTGTGTGGGTGTGTGGGTGTGTGGGTGTGTGGGTGTGTGGGTGTGTGGGTGTGTGTGTGTGTGTGGGTGTGTGGGTGTGTGGGTGTGTGGGTGTGTGGGTGTGTGGGTGTGTGGGTGTGTGGGTGTGTATGCGTGGGTGGTGTATGCGTGTGTGCGTGTGTGCGTGTGTGCGTGTGTGCGTGTGTGCGTGTGTGCGTGTGTGCGTGTGTGCGTGTGTGCGTGTGTGCGTGTGTGCGTGTGTGCGTGCATTCGGAAATTAAATGAATTAATATTGAATTAATTGAATTAATTGAAATAATTGAACTAATTGAATTAATTGAATTCATTCAATTAATGTCAGCCCCCTTTGGAAATAAATGACTTAATTGAATTTAATGAATTAAAGTCTATCTGTGCAACCCTACAAGACCTAAAATAGGGTCTATTTGGAAGATGGCTCTTGTGAATAAGTATACGTTTTGGGGCCTGCTTTCCTCTTGTAAATACGAGTCCCAGCTTCCAAATAGACCCTATTTAAGCTGCACACCCCCCCCCCGCTCCCCTGCCCATTCCCTCCCCCCCCTCCCTCCCCCCTCCCCCCCTTCCCCCCTCCCCCCCCTTCTCCGTCCTCCTCCCCCCTTTTTTTTGATTTGCTTTTCACTGCGTGTGGGTGTGTGTTGTGGGTGTGTGGTGTGTGGGTGTGCGGGTGTGTGGGTGTGTGCGTGTTGTGGGTGTGTGTGTGTGGTGGGTGTGTGGGTGTGTGTGTGTGTGTGGGTGTGTGGGTGTGTGTGGGTGTCGTTGTGTGTGTGTGTGTGTGGGGTGTGGGTGTGTGGGTGTGGTGGTGTGTGGGTGTGTGGGTGTGTGGGTGTGTGGGTGTGTGGGCGTGTGGGTGTGTGGGTGTGTGGGTGTGTGGGTGTGTGGGTGGGTGTGTGGGTGTGTGGGTGTGTGGGTGTGCGCATTCTCTACCAGTCCTCACCATTTTCTCCATTCCCCGCCTTGCCCGCCAGTACCAGCCACAATGTACTCGCCATTTCCGCCATTCCCACCCTTCCCCCCCTTCCCGCCACTACCAGCCATTCCGCCATTCCCCACCAACTACCACTCCCAGTGTTTCCATCTTGAACCAATTGCCCAACATTCCCAACGCTACCTTGTTCTGCAGGGTGGGTGTGGGTGTGTGGGCGTGTGGGCGTGTGGGTGTGTGGGTGTGTGGGTGTGTGGGTGTGTGGGTGTGTGGGTGTGTGGGTGTGTGGGTGTGTGGGTGTGTGGGTGCGTGGGTGGTGTATGCGTGTGCATGTGTGCGTGTGTGCGTGTGTGCGTGTGTGCGTGTGTGCGTGCATTTGGAAATAAATTCATTATTTGAAGTAATTGAATTATTTGAAATAATTGAATTAATTGAATTAATTCAATTAATGTCAGCCCCCTTTGGAAATAAATGAATTAATTGAATTTAATGAATTAAATTCTATCTGTGCAACCCTACAGGACCTAAAATAGGGTCTATTTGGAAGATGGCTCTTGTGAATAAGTATACGTTTTGGGGCCTGCTTTCCTCTTGTAAATACGAGTCCCAGCTTCCAAATAGACCCTATTTAAGCTGCACACCCCCCCCCCCCTCCCCTGCCCATTCCCTCCCCCCCCTCCCCCCCCCCCCCCCCCCCTCCCCCCCCTCCCCCCCCCCCTTCTCCGTCCTCCTCCCCCTTTCCTGACCTGCTTTTCACTGCATCGGACACCTCGCACTGTGTGGTGTGTGGGTGGTGGTGTTTGGGTGTGTGGGTGTGTGGTGTGTGGGTTGTGGTGTGGTGTGTGTGTGTGTGGTGTGTGGTGTGGTGTGTGTGTGTGGGTGTGTGGGTGTGTGGGTGTGTGGGTGTGGGGGTGTGTGGGTGTGTGGGTGTGTGGGTGTGTGGGTGTGTGGGTGTGTGGGTGTGTGGGTGTGTGGGTGTGTGGGTGTGTGGGTGTGTGGGTGTGTGGGTGTGTGGGTGTGTGGGTGTGTGGGTGTGTGGGTGTGTGGGTGTGTTGGTGTGTGGGTGTGTGGGTGTGTGGGTGTGTGGGTGTGTGGGTGTGTGGGTGTGTGGGTGTGTGGGTGTGTGGGTGTGTGGGTGTGTGGGTGGTCCTCCTCCCCCCTTTCCTGACCTGCTTTTCACTGCATCCGACACCTCGCACTGTGTGGGTGTGTGGGTGTGTGGGTGTGTGGGTGCGTGGGTGTGTGGGTGTGTGGGTGTGTGGGTGTGTGGGTGTGCGCATTCTCTACCAGTCCTCACCATTTTCACCATTCCCCGCCTTGCCCGCGAGTACCAGCCACTATGTACTCGCCATTTCCGCCATTCCCACCCTTCCCCCCCTTCCCGCCACTACCAGCCATTCCGCCATTCCCCACCAACTACCACTCCCAGTGTTTCCATCTTGAACCAATTGCTCAACATTCCCAACGCTACCTTGTTCTGCAGGGTGGATCGTGGAAACGGAACTCCTCAATCTGCCAAACCCCTAAACCCCTTTGTGGACCCTATAACCCCCCCCCCCCTCCCCGGATTGCCCAGGCTAAGAAAAAGAACCCGTAGAATAAAATTAAACACCATCGGATTAGGGTGGCGTGTCCTGAGGCCCGAAAAAAGAACCGCCAGAATAAAATTAAAAACCATCACCGACAGAGAATAAGAAAAAACACCCCGAGAATTTAAAAAAAAAACATGCCCTTTAAAGTTCATATAAGCTCATCCCTTTTTAAATTCATGCGGATCCCTTTCACTTCAGAAAAGCTCATCTCTTTTCAATTCATATGGATCCTTTTCAATTCATCTAAAAACTCATCCCTTGAAATTCATATGGATCCATTTTTAAATTCATATAAGTTCATCCCTTTTAAGTTCACATGGATCCCTTTGAAGTTCATATAAGCTCATCCCTTCCAAATTCATATGGATCCCTTTTGAATTTATATAAACTCCTCCATATTAAAATCATATAAACCCGCGGGCCCGTTTAACGAGGAGCAAATCCAGCCTCGACTGTTCAGCGGGGGGGGGGGGGGGCAACACATTAAACTAGGTGCAACATTCCTCATAACTGGTCATAGCCCTTATTTGGGTACTTGTCACCCTACTTATAATTGTAGCTACACATGAGCCTCCCAGAGCGCTTGAAGCTCTAGGGGTCTGGTAAGTTATGGTGGTTTGGGGTTGGTGAGCTTCAGGCATGTTTTTTTCCGCTACTGCATGTTCCAGGAGGAGGTGGCCAGTGTTTGCTGCGTCCGCAGAAAAACGCCCTAAACCCTAACCACGAAGTTGTTTGAGTCCCAGCAACCCTAAGTACTAAGCCTGGTGCCCTAAACCTCGGTTTAGGGTTTAGCGTTTAGGGTTTAGGGTTTAGGGCTCCTTGAACAAGGTTCCCGCAGTTGCCCGACTTGACAGACTGCAGCGCCGTGACCCGCATGATCCAGCAGCACCGTTGACCTCGCCGACCGTGTGATGTGGGGGTTTCCGAAATTTTGGGTTTAGGGTTTAGGGTTTAGGGGTAAGAGTAGTAGGAATGATGGTAAGAAGAATAATAAGAATAATGGTAATAATAACAATGGAAAAGAATTATAGTAGTAATTATGGTAATAGTTATAGTAATCATCAAAATAGTGATGGCAACAACTGTAATAAAAATAGTCATAAATTAGGGGTACCTTATTGGGATCCTTATTGTAAGAGGATCCTGCTATGTGGGGACTCTACTAGGGGTCCCTTATATTCGTAAACCCCCATGTCTCTCGGGTGGCCCGTGTAGCGTTGCTGTACTCCAACGCAGCCAAGACGGCTTTCTTGCCCCACTTTTGCGCGCATTTGAACCGTGATGGGTTCCTTTCCTAGGTAAACCATGTGAACTGCCAGTTGTAAACTGCCAGTGGAGTGCTTGTACTCTGAACCGGACCATCGACGCAGCTGAAGACATGGCGATGCAGCTGCCTCATTCACTTTCTTGCAGTGTTCACAACTGCTGCCTTCACCTTATCGTATTTGTGTGCATCTTGAGATTGAGCTTGCACTGCAGCCGCTGGAGAAAGGAACATGAACGCCGTCGTAGCTGGTAGCTGGAACATTCCTTTCTTGGCCTGACTGTCATCCCAGTAACCTCTACGGGTAGCTCTTTAAGTCTAGGTCCCTTTTTAAAATCCCTCTTTACAGGGTGCCGCCTTCCTAAAGGGTACCCAAAAAGGGACCCTGATCTAGGAAACGACCCAAATAATCTCACTGGGGGAGCCATGAGGGCCTTGCAGTCCTGTGCCCGGATGGTCTCCTGGGCTGCTCGAGGCAGAGAGTGAGGAGCAGAGGGGCTGAAGCATACCCAACCTGTTTGGCCCTAAACCCAAAAAAATAAACCCTAACAAATACACCCTAAACCCTAAACCCTAAAGTTTTTTACTTCCATGGGCCCAGTGTGGGTTGTCTCTCTGTGCTAGAGAGCAGCGGCGCAGGTCTCTCGCATCCGCCGCCCAATGCGCAGGAGCCGCCGTAGCCGCCGTCGGGTTCCGATATGGGGGTTTACGATATTCGGGGTACCTTGTTGGGGTCCTGATCATGAGGGGATCCTGCTATTTGGGGCTCTATACCAGGGGTCCCTTACTATCGCAAACTCGGGGTTTGCAGGGCGAGTGCCGGGGAGGGTTCCCTCCCCAGGACAAGATGAGGTAAACACCCTGGAAATAAACCCAGAAACCTGGGCCCTAAACCCTACACCCTAAACCCTAATCCTAAACCCTAAACCCTAAACCCTAAACCCTAAACCCTAAACCCTAATCCTAAACCCTAAAACAGGCTGCGCTCACCGGTGCCTGGCATCGCTGTGCCCTCGCCAGAGAGGTGAGGCTTTCGGCAGCGTGGATTTCTTGGGCTTGGGGTTTAGGGTTTAGGGTTTAGGGTTTAGGGTTTAGGGTTTAGGGTTTAGGGTTTAGGGTTTAGGGTTTAGGGTTTAGGGTTTAGGGTTTACGGTTCAGGGCAGACTGCTTAGCCTCTTACATAAGGGCTCTCAGTGTCCGAAACGCCCAACATAAGGGTAATTATTGTAGATCAATCCGGATACACCCGACTCCGTGAAGCCCCGGGAGAACACTTCTCACATTTCTTGGGTTTGCCAGGCGAGATCTTTCTCAGAGGTGGCGAACGCGGAGGCCTGTCATTCCTGGCAGATTTACAACTCTGCACAACCTCAACATGCTTCAAAACAGGCCCACGTGTTCCTAACAGACCCCCCCGCCGGCGGGGGCCTCCTCGCATGCTTGCGCAGGTGCGCTCGGAGAGCTGTGGCGAAGGCGATTGGTCGCAGTTTGCTGATGTTAGGGGGTTCGGGCCCGTGATGTCGAGACTGGAGTATGTAAGGCAATCCTGCCAGTCGTCTTGAAGTGCAGCACACAGAGACATTCTTACACCCTGAACCCTAAACCCTAAACCCTAAACCCTACACCCTACACCCTAAAACCCTAAACCCTAAACGTTGAGGAGCCGTCCCGGCAAGATCGAGGTTGGGGCCCTGCATGTGACTGACGGGATCCCCCGCGCAGCAATGATGATGAAAGGTTCAGTTGGGCGTTTCCAAAAATGGGGCTACCCTGTTTAGAGTTTAGGGTTTTAGGGTTTGGGGTTTAGGGTTTAGGGCTTAGGGTCCCTTTCAGGGGGTTCTAAACGGGGGGTACCCCTTATATTGGGAAACGCCCAGTTCAGGACGATGGTTTTGTTTAAAAGCCCTGGCGCCCTCGGTTCATTCCGTGAACTCAATGTTTCTCCAGCCCGTCAAGACTGCTGCATGAAGACTACGGCACACCAAAGGGACAGGCGCACATGGTAAGCTCAACTGTGTGAGTCGACGGACATGAAGCTGAATGGGCTGCACCCCACACCCTAAACCCTAAACCCTAAACCCTAAACCCTAAACCCTAAACCCCAAACCCTGTTCGACAGGCCCAATCCCATGAGCCTGCGGTGCGCCCCTCAGACTCGGGAATTGGCCCTTGCATCATCGTGGGCAAGATGTTCTCTTTCAGTGTCCTTCCCTAAACCCTAAACCCTAAACCCTAAACCCTAAACCCTAAACCCTAAACCCTAAACCCTAAACCCTAAACCCTAAGTGTGTGGTACTGGTATCGCTGACATCACTAGATGCACATGCTTCTGCTCTGGGAAGGCTAGGCCCAACTGAATTGAAATCTACTGTTAGTGTGTGGCAGCTTGCAATGCTGTTGCAGGCGCCAGATGGGACATTAATAAAAACCCTAATATAAGATTCCCTTATAACCAGGACCCCAATGAGGTACCCTATTTCCGTACACCCCTTTTCACTGCCTCTCCCATCCTGAAGTCATCCTGCAGGGACAATCGCAACATTCTTCGCAACATCGGCCCATCAAGCAGCAAACAGGGACTTAGTTGATGCACAACTGGACGCCACCTTATTGTTCGCAGCACCACCACCATGCATGAGGCATGGTTGCAGCCCTTGATGCAGCAACCGCATGCGGGGCATGGGAACTCAAGCATCCGATCAGATGGGTGCTTGAAGGGCACGAGGTTTTTTTCCGCTCGAAATGGCTTGGAGTAGCAAGTTCACAAGTGGCCCGTTCTTCGCACAGGTTTGCCTACACGACCACGCCCTTCTTCCCAATCTGGGTGCGAGCCCGAGCTTGGAAACACTCAAGACATCACATTGATGATACTAGACCTGAACATGATCCTCGGTGAGCTGCAGGCAAGCAACTTGCGGAACGTGTGCAAGAGAAAGAAGGCGATACGACGGGGTAAAGGTATGTTTGGGCCCCGGCGTCTGTCATGTTGCGTGTATTGAACGCAAGCTGCTCGAATGGTGTCACGTTCACAGTAGTGCCAGAAGTGGAAGCAAGTGCACGCCACCGCTGAAGACAGCAACCCTTAAACCCTAAACCCTAAACCCCAAACCCTAAACCCCAAACCCTAAACCCCAAGCCCTAAACCCTAAACCCTAACTATCAAGTCAGGGATCTGGCAAGACCGAAAGGATTCAATTCTCATCGCTTGCCGTTCCTCGGCCGTTGCCCAGAGACTCCAATACCCCTTAATTAAGGAAGTAAGGAACCCTCTTATACTTTAAGGGATATTCCTTAAGCCATATGAGGAACCCTCTTATACTTTAAGGAAAGTATTCCCTAAACTCTAACCCCTAAACCCTAAACCCTAAACCCTAAACCCTAAACCCTAAACCCTAAACCCTAAACCCTAAACCCTAAACCCTAAACCCTAAACCCTTCATTAAGGGATGTTGGAGTCATTGCTGAGGTCTGCAAGCCGAGGCCTCCACTGGCGCTCCAAGCGCCAGAAGGGCAAGCAGGCCTCACCTGCGGGCCCAACTCCCTTCTCCCACCTGCCTTGAGGGTTTAGGGTTTAGGGTTTAGGGTTTAGGGTGATGACCCTAGCCCTCAATAACCCTCATGACGGCTTAGGGTTTAGGGGTTTGGGACTGAATAACCCCTAATTACCCCGGACCTGTTGTGCACACCGGGAAAAGGGAGAGGGGGCACACCGGCAGGGGAGGGAGGGAGCTTTGATTGGGCAAGGGGGTCCTTACTACCCTAATATCTCTAGACCCTAAGAACCCAAGGACCCTAGTGGCCTTAATAACCTTAAAGACCCTAAGCCCTAATAACCCTAGACCCTAATGACCCTTAAAACCCTAAACCGTAGTTATGCCCTAACCCTAATCACCCTAAACCCTGGTTAGGGTTGAGGGTTTGGTTTAGGGTTCAGGGTTCAGGGTTCAGGGTTTAGGGTTTAGGGTTTAGGGTTTAGGGTCTAGGGTTTAGGGTTTAGGGTGTAGGGTGACTAGGGGAGGGGCTGAAGCTTTTGATCAGGCCAGGTCCTTTGAGCGTGGCAACATGCCGCTGTTTAAGCGGCTTCCGCGCTGGCCGGAGGCCGGAGTGCTGCGAAACATAGGTCCCCTGCACATTTGTTTTTTTTTGATATTTATATTGTTTTTTTAAATATAGTATATGAACTTTTTTTCTATTTTTACTGCTATGTGATAGGATATTGGAGTAATCGTATGTTACCTTATATGATCTTGTATTACATATGTATCTTTCTGTTTACATGTTTCTTTTTTTCATCATCATTGCTACGACCAAAATGCATTGTCACATGTGATGATGCATATTGACATGTGAAACAAAAACAAACAGAATGTTCTTCAAACATTCCTACAACCTCTCAAATATACATAACATACATTGGCATGAACTGAGAGCTGAGCTGTGATTCTTAGTGTATTTTCCCAGGCACATATGCGAAACAAGCGCAAGCTCCTGGACCCTTTGAACCTGTCCAAGCTGCCCGGGACCTTGGATGCGGACAATCACTGGTGCCGCTGCAACCAGAGTTTGCGAGAGCGGCTCTTTCAGAATATCGATTCCTCAATGCAAAACTCTACTTTCATCACCTTGAGAAGCATTCATGAAAGGCCTAAACCCTAAACCCTAAACCCTAAACCCCAAACCCTAAACCCGAAATTCCCACCCAGGCCTGCTTAGGCCGTACCCACCTTTTCTAGGGTGCCTGGACCCAGAACTACACCCGACAGCCATTAACACCATCGCTTGGACTTACTATGCAAGCCTACAGAGTTGTGTTGAGCGTGAGCTGCACCTCCAGTGCCGGTGCAGTGCACCGCCTGGGGTACCCCTTCTGCGATTCTCATGTCTTATTAACGGCGACCTGTGCACTGACCGCCCCTCCCCCCTTTTTCCTCGATCCCCAGCTTGGCCTGGTCCCTTCACCCCCTTCTCCCAAGCTTTCCTCACCGTTCAAAGGACGGGGAGGGAAGTGGGAATTTAGGGCGCTGGCCCGAAACCCTAAAAGGAAAAAAGTTGGGTGGTTGCCTGCGTAAGCAGGGGGTGGGAAAAATAGAACAACCCAACCGTTCTGGTTGTGGTGGCTCCAACTTCAAAAAAGATGCCGCCCCCTCACACCCCCTGGGCATCTCCGCATGATATCTACTGCCGCGGCGAGGCGAGAAGCCCTAAACCCTAAACCCGAAACCCTAAACCCTAAACCCTCCTGGTGCCCAGACGCTACTTCATCCAGAAGGGCCGCCTGGACTGGCTGTAGCTGCTTACTGCCTGCATCTGACAATTCCCTCGGACGCCCGGTTTTGGGTTTAGGGTTTA